AACAACAACAACAAAACAAAGCAAAACAACAATAACAACAAAATAATTGGCATCCAATTTACTTAGGTGCTATAAACGCCGCTATATCTCCTCTATCATTAAGAAAAAAAACATCAATCTATAAGAAATCGCGATTTTCTAACTAAAGCTAATGAATCGTCTTGAAGGCTGTGTAGCAAGACAGCTACCTAGATCAGATACAGAGCGTTTTAAAGCTAGTTTTATAAATATATTGTATTGTATATACTCTTTGGTTCTTTAGCATTATGACTTTTTTTACTTGTAATATTGTTTATGCAAATGGTAGTTAGGTATCATTTTAAGTCAGCATATTTATCTTCCGATTTGTAAATATAAGTATGTAGCTCTACTTAAAAAAAAAAAAATAATAGCATTTCAATCAACTTGAAAAACTGTTAGGGTTTATGTATATGTTATATAAAGTAACTGATTTTGGAGTTTTAAAAAAAWTATCGTATTATTATGTCTTTAGTAAAGACAAATGAAATTTTTGACACGAGATCAAAAAGTAGGCACGACTCTAGGCTTGAATTCATATTTACCCAATTGGAATAAATTATTTTTCAGAAGGACTAGCGAAATGGTAGCATACAGTAGACCTCTTTACCTTCGTATGCAAATTGCCCATTTCAGACCACGTGATATTCCCTTGAGAATTCTTCTTTTATGATAAACATGTTAAAGTATTTGTATGTAAAACAGCTTACTCCCAAAAGTGGCATCAAATGGTCTGGAATGGGCACAACAAACAATAAAGGTCAGGATTCGTGCGAGGTAACCACTTAAAATTCAAGGACTATTCAAGGATTATACAAGGACCCAAAAATGAATTTTCAAGGAGTATGTTCAGCTAACTATTATTCAGCTAAGGTTTAACACGGTGGTTGCACATGGCCGACTTTCAGATTTTCCGATTTTTCTGACTAGATCTATTTCAGAACCATGCAAGTAATGATCAAAGCAAAAATTCAAGGAGTTTTCAAGGAGTTTTGCAAAAATCGTAAAATTCTGAAAGGTAAATAAGTCTATTCCATGACATTTTTTTTTGTTTAATCCAACCAAGATGGCGTCGTGTGCAAAYGAAGGATAACTCATCTATCTATAATAAAAAAGGTTAAAGGGAAAGGTTAACTCTACCTGTTGAAGAATATTTGTCCGACTTGAATCACGAGCAGTTTTCACTTTCAGCGCAACTTTTACAAGCTCTGCCACAAGTTCGTCCTCAAAAGTGAATTCCTCTCTCTGTGCCTCGCCACATATGTTAAGCAGACCAGCCAAGATTACCTAAAGAAAATAAATAAAATCCATATATCAGCAAAGAAGATTCATATTTTATTTCGTGCGACAAAACATGGCCGCAAAGACTTTATTTTGTGACTTGAAGACTAAGAATATAAATATTTATATCTATTGTTTATTAAAACTAATGAAGTCTATTGTTTTKAAAAACGACTTCAGCATCCAAAAGGAAAAGCATTTTTATAGAGGCTTTRCMCCATCACGTGCCAGCGCCAAAAACAAAGCTTGACTGCTTGTGGTTTGAGGGCAGGGCCCTGTTATACGACGCCTGAATAGCGCAATCCGACGGATAAATCTTATCCAGTGGATAAATTTATTGGATAACAGCATCGACTTATCCACTGGATAAGAATTTATCCGTTGGATAGCACTATCCACCCTTCGTACAACCGGGCCCAGAACAATAAAATCYCTTTGCTCCCAAAGCTCCCACTTTTCCTTCATGGCAGAATTTGTTTACATATCTACTCGAAAAGCAAATACAAAAACTACATACTATTAATAAAATTAAATATGCGATACCTGAAATCGTCGTCCAAACTGAGGCTCATTAATTTTGTCTTTCAAATACCAGAACAGCAAGTGCATAAGCCGGACGTTCCCAAGCGCCCGCCGTATAAGAAATCGAGCCAGCGGTGAATCATGATAAATCTCATACTTGAGTGCTTGGACTAGCTGTGGTAGGTAATCGCAAAGCTCGTCATCACTAAAGTTACCCATCCACCTCACGGCCATTGCTCGCACCTTGCAGTCAGGAAAGTTGATTTTCAACAACTCCATCGCATCGACTGGGAACATAGGCGTCCAAACGCTTAAAAGGTGGTATATTTCAGGCAAATGCTTGTATTCCCAGGACATTACAGTTGAGAGGACAAGTGGAAGTGCTCTAGATTCGTTACGGCAGTAGTAACGGTGCAGCCAGAGAACTTCCTTTTCGTCGGGTTTCAGCTCATTGAATAAATCCTTCTCGAGAATCTGTTCATAAACGCTATAGTCTGCTTCAGGGATGTCGATTTCATCGTTACTGTGGGGGACAGTACATTCTGGGAATATTATCTCAGCTAGATACCTCTCGAACTCAACCAAGATTAGCACACTCGTTGGGTGTAAGAGGTTAGAGGTGCAGGCTCCAACGGGATTGGCTTTAGCATCAGGCCAGAGTCCCAGCAGTTGAGTACCAGAGGCGAGAATGCCATTAAAGTTGAATAACTGCATCCCCACCCATCCTAGAGGCACCCTAGGGGTGTGGACTGCGGTGCCTTTTGTCATGCTGGTAAAACCATAAAGAGTCAGGCACAAACGAGACTCCCTTGGAAGCTGACGCACTTGGATCTTGAACTCAAGCCATTCGTCCCACCTCACGTGATCTAGGAATTTCTTTGTGATTTTCATCAAGGGGGTAATCTCTACAGGACAAAGAAGAGATCCGCCATAATAGATGCCAGCTTCTACATCGAAGAACTCGTAATCCTGTTTCCAGTTCAAAGGCAAACGATGCGCCGACGCAATACGAATCCGGAGATTCTCTGTCATTGCAGTGACTTCAAAGGTGCCTGATAACCCAGGTCTGTAGATCCTACTAGCTGTGAATTCAGTATCAAAAGCTTCGCAGTACATCTCGACAAGCATATGCACAGACTGGGACAACCTCGTGAGGATGCAAATAATGGAATTTGAGTCAGGTGGAAGAGGTGCTCCATTTTGGCCTTCTTTTCGCTGCTGTAACTGGATCAACTCATCGACTGCACTATGAATTTCACTAGTTTCAATGCTTGCCAGCATGGCACATATCGCTTTGACYGACTGAATTATCCGGCTTGGCTCAAAGCGAGGAGCCACTAGATCGGTAGATTCTTGTAGAACTTTTGCTACTTCATCATGGAATGCCTCCATAAGTATTGTCAACCCATACTGAGAAATAGCAGTAGACTTTGTAAGATCAAAAAAGTCTTTATAAGTTCTGGGAATTAAATCTAACTTATCATCCGCTTGTGACCTAGCAAGTGGTCTGGAAACACGGTCACTTTCTGTTAACACAAACCTTACTTCAGTTTGTAGTTTAAGACATTGTTGAACATACTCATAGTCAACTAGTTCTCTTTCTGCTTCAAGATATTCAGATTTTCCACAAACTTTTAAAAGAAATGCCCCACAAATCTCAGAATAGTCTGTAACATCAGTAGCATCTGATAAACAACTTATTGCAAGTTCAATGATTTCCCTAACTGGTACATGGACATTAGTGCTAAAGCGGATGGTATCCCTCTCACTTTCAGTGTAAATAACAACTGGTATTTCAGTGTCTAAGTCATRAGCTTCTTCCCCAAAGCTTGGAGGCAGGGCAGAGCTCAGGACAAAGCCTCGGTTAGAAGTATCCTGGTACTGAAACATACTTCTCAAATCAGAGAGCATCTTTCCAAATGCAACAACCTCAAGGTCCCGTTCCTTAGCAACCTCAAATAAGCCTCCTTCAAATGATGGCTTTTTATTAATATCCAATTTACTGTCTTTTGCATTTGTCGAGGGGGTTTGTAATGTATGGGAGTCTCCTACGGAATAGCGATGGGGTGATTTCTCTCTTGGTGCTTTTGGTGGTCCTGACATTGTTCTTTCCACTGGCTGCCAGCCAAAGAACTCCATTTCTTCGGTCTCTAGGTCAGGAAGTTTGACTTGCAGGGGGTGGTTTTGTTCATTTTCAAATGAATTATAATCTAAAATTGAATCAGGCTTGATATCTTTATTATTCCCACACTCTGTCTCAGTCTCCAGCTTATCAAATGCTTGAATATCACTGGGCAGTTTATTTGGAAGACTTCTTGCCRAGCTTGGAGCATCGGAATCATTACTTTGGAAAGACCTCATAGAAAAGTTTCTCTTCAAAGAAATTCTATCAAAAGGATGAGTTGAACTTGAAGATTCAATGCTATCTGTYGCAGAACCTATACTGTCTGCTCTTTGTAGCAATTCAGAAAAATTTTCTAGGTAGTTATCTGTGGTATTAGTCTTCGGCGGCTCATCTAAGTTCACTCTTAGTGTGAATTCATTATGAAGTTCTTGTGAATCATCAAACTTAGAAGTTTTGTCCTGTTTTATGGGGACATATCGTTTTGATTTTCCAGGTAAAGGAGGTGGTGTTAGTGACCTTTGTGTTACTCCACTGGCTTGAGCATAACCATTATCATCACTATTAATATTCAATCCATCAAATCTTTTAGAATGAGTAGGTGATAGGTTTTCCTCTGTATGGGAAAGTCTAATATTACTACCAGTAGCTACAGATTGTGCATTATAGCTCAGTGCTGAAGTGGTTGTACAGTTGTTTACAAATAACTGACTTGGTCTATCAGGAAGAAAAGGATTCTTAGAATTTACACTTTTTCCATTAGTCGAGCAACTACTTTGAGGATATACCCACTGTAAAGAGTCCAGCTCATCTTGACTTGGCCTTGAAAAATCATTTGTCGAATAAGCACATGCTTTATCAGCTTTAGCGTCAGTAGTAGAAGGCATATTTTGATCCAATTCTGACAGTTCAGATAACCAAGAAACCCTAGATCCTTTATCCGTTGTTTTCTCGCCATTATCATCAGCAAAATCCATCAAATCATCACCACTAAATCGCCTGTCTCCCATTTTTTGCCAGGCAGTTTATTGTTTACGATTGAAACCTACTTTTAATAAGTCCAGCCTTGTCGTTTATTTTGTCTCGTCCTTTGAAGAATTGGTTCAATTCAGCAAGCATTATTCCACTTCAAAAATCTCGTTCTGYCATCCTTAAAATCCTCTTAAACCAAGAATTATAACTGTGTGTCTTGAAGCCCAAAGATCCAACGTTTTCTTGATAAATAATTATCTAATTAGAGGATATAAATGATAGTCGAAAAACCACAGAAGCTCCTAGGAAACATGGCGTAATGTAGCAGTAATCTTGCAATATTTGCTCGATGTCCTGTGATTTAACATTAAAAAATATAAATTTTATTGTTATAGAATTAATCAAGATGTCAAAAATACGCTATAACGGTGTAAATATGTCAGAATAAGGAAGTAATAACAATATCAGCTCATACAAACCTATTTGTGGTATGATTCCTGTTTTTGTATCAAATGCGCAAGCGTAGCGTCTCACCACAGGCAACCCAACAAACGATATTGTAGTGAGAGTTTTAAGATTTTGTGCTTAAAAAAATTCTAGTTGTTTTGGCAACAGATAATCAAAAAGAATAAAAATGAAACTAT